TTTTTTGGAAATAGCATGGTATATACTCATACAATGACTCAAAATGTAATTTGGCCTGTGATATTCTTTCGGGGAACAGAACACTCTATTTCAAATCCATTATTAAAAAGCAGATAACATGTGCACTCTCTAAAATGCCTGTGACTTCACTCTTTTGATTTTATGTAATTATAAGTGAATGTTCATATGTATTTGCTTTTCAGTTGGCACAGCATTTTAAAGCTGACTGTCCTCGGATAAAGTGCATATTTTCTTTTGGTTCATGAAGTGTATCACAGGGTTATATGCTCAGAACTTTTATTAATATTTTATACTACAGCCGAATGTAGTTCATAGCCATGATTACAATAAGAATTTTAATGTTACCCTATATATGTGGAGAAAAAATATTAGATATACCTTAGATTCTGAAACTAATAATTGGTAAGTCAAATCTGTGCCTTTCTACTGTATTATCTTGTAACTTCTATCAGCTCTCAAGAAAACTTTGAACTCAGTATTTTTCCAAAATCTGCAGCTCAAAGTAAATACTTTTCCTTTGAACCAATTTCAGTTTAGCATAATAAAATAGAGAAAACATCACCCACTTAAAAACAGCTTAAGTTGCATGTACTTTGTCACTGTAAATAAACAAGGTAAACATTGACATGACTTCAAATTATTCTTGGGCTGAAAAAAATCTGTAGTTCAAAATAAACTCAGCCTTTGGTCAACATTTTGGATGCAATTCAAAGTCTCTCATAAAATAAACATATTTTAAAGAGTGTTTTGAATTTCACTGCATAATTTCTAGCCAACAGAAATGACAGTGGTATCTTTAAAGTTTATTATATGTCAGATCAATAGCTGTTAGACAGCCCTAACATGGCCATTGAAAAGCCAGCCGTACCTTCCCTCTCCCTTAACCCTCATCACTGTGACATACAGAAGAACTTCCCATAGGTGTCCGTTAGGAAACCCTCTCACAAAGTGAAACTTCTCTGTTTGTTTCATAACAAAAGTCTTCGTTTCTGATCAAATGGAATCAGGGCTGAGTTTCTAGTCAGAAAAGAAAAATTAAAGTAATCTTTGTGAGATTTTTTTCAAGAAAAGAGTTTTACATTCTGCATAATAACAAATTGTTTCGAAGCATGAGCTTAAAATGAAAATATCCCATCACAACAGATTGTAAATTTTTTTCTGCTGCTTTTAAAAGTGCCTCGATCACTTCTACGGCTTCAGTGCTAAAGTTAAGTATTTGCCATTTTATTTAAACATTTTTTGAAAAATGAACATTCTGAGGCTTTGCAGCATTATTAAGAAAAGCTGTCCATACTTTACCATGTTGTTACATGTGTTTATCTGCTGATTATAAAATGTGTTAAACAGTATTTTAAAAACAAAAAAAAATGCAGCGCTGCGCTTTGATTAATTCAGTGAATAAAACATATGCTGTTGGTTCTGTTCTATGAAATTCATATATGATCAATAAAATCTTTAAAAAGAGCAAATTTGGCTTTTAGGATTGTATTGCTGAACATGTTTTTTGACCCAGTTAATTCTGGGCTCATACTGTTAACTTAGGCAAACAAAACCACTTTCTGGTTATGATAATAATGTCTTTAATATATTCTTATCCTCTCTAATATTTCTCTAGGTTGGAAGCTGTGTATTGTGGTTGTTATCCACTTTGTCCCAAAGATTTGGTTTATCCCGAAATATTCCCAGGTAGCTGCTTTAATGTGCTTTTGTCTTTGTTGTGATTTAATACATGATTCATACTAAATTAGAAAGTTTGAAAATAAACTTAGGCAGGAGCAATTGTTTATTTGGCAAGTCAACATGTTAGTGTTAAGGAAAATTTTGTGTTTTAGTACATTAGAGTAAGCTTATATTTACCATCTGTTCTTTTAAGATAACAAAAAAACAAGTTTTCAAATAGCATTCTTCATTGTTAGCATACACATCCTATAATGATGGATTTTTATAAGCAGGTCAATGTTGCTACAATTGCTTACAGATTTTTTTAATGATATACACAGAGAAAAAAATCAAGGACTGAAAGTCACACCAAATTATTTAAACAATTGAGTAGTTAATAATATGCAACTGTTGTACAGGGTACATACGGCTATAGTACCAATTCTTTGAAAAAATTCTCATCACTAAATATATCACATATGCATTGTGTTACATTAGAATAATGTATTTTAATCACCCAAAGGAGATGTCTAAACAGAACAACTACACAGTCTTATTTAGCATTAAACATCCTTGTGAGCTGAGGTAACCTTATAAAATCATGCTTAAATAATGTAAAACACAAGGCGGCACAGAGCAATATGCATTTTTAATTAGTAAAGTGACTAATATGGAGTGTGTGCTTTGAGGTTTTTGTTTCATTAAAAATGTATCTGTTTTTCCTGCAGCTGAATATCTGTATTCTACACCTGAACAGCTTTCAAAAAAGCTCCAGAATTTCTGCAAGAGACCAGATATTGTAAGAAAACATCTCTATAAGGTAGTTATTGAGAAGAGATTTACGTGGTATAAATGCCGTATTGAAGTACAAAGAAAAATCTTTAAAAAAAACATTTAATTAACATACTAATGTTTAAAGGAAACATGCTAGGCAGGGATATTAGTTGTTACACTAACAAGGATTAATTAAACTGGATGCCAGTTGTATTAACCGAGGTCATATGAAATACATACACTTAATGCATGATACATGCTTTTTTAAAAAATTTATTGTTTTCTAAGATGACTGTCCTTTACATTTAGTCCCAAGAGGCTTATAAAAATGAACTTGGATTAATGTAACTCATTAGTTTAAAAGGAAGGAAAGATTCTACAATTATACTAATGAGGATAAGCCTTTCTCCCATCATAATGAAATCTTCAGTCCTCAAAAATTCAGGTGAATGACATCATTGAAGTTTGGTGTTCATTTTTTAACTACTTTAAAGATTACTTTCCAAAGTTGAATATTTCCCTTGTCCGTTTTAATAACATGACATAAAAATACTCCGTTTTTAGAGTTAACTCTCCGTTTAATCTCTCAATGGCAAGAGCAGAAGGCAAATAGTATATATAAATAGCATCGTCATTCAGGCCCTCATTCATTATTTTTCTTCTCTTACTTGAGTCAAGAATTTTAGATTGTTGAAATAACAACACAAAGAGGCCCCACTAAAAGTCTAAGTAATTGAAGTAGGATGAATCTCCTTTATGAGTTTCAAAGGTGGCTCTAAGCCATAAGTAATATACTTTTTTATATTCTTTGAATGTAGCATCTTCATTTTACATAAATTCAGTATAGTTTACAATCTAGCAGTTTCATAATCCAGCATATTTTAATTTTCCTATGTTAATATAATCTTCTACATGAAATACTGTTCTCTGCCTTTTTTTCTCTCATTTTTTTTTTATGGCCTAAAATACATATTTACATAGTGATATATCAAAACATGACTTTGTTTCTCCAGGAAACAGTTAAACTTCAAGAAAAAAGGAGAGAACTAAAAATGCAATTTAACACCCAATTTCAAGCTCATTATCTTTCATTGTCTATTAACTTGGCAATGGTTCAGAAGGTAGCTCATAATAGTTTAAAATGCTGACTGCACAGTTCCGGGCTCGACTGTCACTCCTTCAGTCAATACTATTGTATCATATACATGTAGAGATTCACAGAGAAGACAGGTCTCTAAGGTTTTCCCCAATATTTCCTAATTCTAAAGTTCAGTAGCAGTTTTGTTTGTATAAAATATTAAGTGAATAGTTTACCATGTGACAGACTGTCCAAATACGCAAACTATCAAAATTGAGGAAATAATTAAGTATTAGCACAAAATGATTCATTTTCTATACATACTACAAACGTATTTTCAGTGAGTTCATGGTTAAATTATTGATTTTTATTCCTTCAGATGAATTTTTGGTGAAGTATTTACAAATATGTTCCACCACAAAAATTTACCAGTTTTTAATTTTGCTTCAGGTTAGGGCTTATTAACTATGTTACCCCACATCTGCAAATTTTAACTATTTCAAAAGTCACTGCAACAAGTTGTCTCTAGTTAGAAAAGAAAGCAGATCTCCAATTGAAATACCTTAATATAGTTATTGCCATAATGTAACTATAATTATTTATTTTACAAACAACTTCTGAAAAAATTCTAAAAGAATGTTAGCTTAGTGGTATCCTGTCAGTATATAAAATCATCCTTATACAGCTTAAAAATAGCCCATACCTTAAATGTCACTTCAGTGAGTTATTATTTGTTAATACTTAACATATATTTTTAGTTTTTAAATCATAAAGTCCTCCATCCTAAAGTTTTCTAAATTAGTAATTGACTTATAAGCATTTATAAGAATGTATGTGTACAATAAAGTTTGAATTACATTTACCATAAATTTTTTGTTATAAACCTGTAATACACTTTCATATATGTCGTGATAGATCTTAATAGTATACTATGTAAAAATTAATCTCAAAAATTAAAGGAAGTACTCTAAAATTATAAGTAATAAAGAGCTTTATGATGCTACTCTTAGGAAAAACTTACATGTTGAAGGAATTGACTTTAAAAAATCATAGGAAAGATCACGAATTTAGTTCATTTATTAAAATAGGACTTAGATCCAAAACAAAAAAATGCTTCTAAAGCTATAATAAATTATGATAATTGTTATCTGATGTTTTATAAATATACACTATTCAGGTACCATTTACTTTCACTCAAAACTAGAGAATTCTTTTTTGCAAGGCAGCTTTTTACCTACTTTTCTTATGCAGTGGAGGAGGTTCTTTTGTGTGTTCTGTGAAGAGAATTTGAGTTTTTTGTAAAGATTTATCCCATTGGACAGTGCTGTTTGCTTTTGTAAAACATATACTTCTAAGATCTGAAAGTATAGAATGTCACTGAATTATTTAATTTGTTCCTTTACATTTTTACACCTTACTCTTTTTTTGTTGTTAAAAGTTTACATTTTAAAATCATTTCAACTTCTTATCATATAGAGTTCACTTTAGGATAGAATTTTTTTCATATGGTTTCACACTTAGAAATTTAATGACTAGAATAAGGCTACTAACACTTGGCTTGCTTCTCACATGAGACATTATACTTTGAATAAGAGTGAGAGTTTTAGGGCTATAACTTAAAGCGGATTTGAAACAGAATGCTAGCAACCAAAAAGCAGACACAGAATTTACTTTTTTTTCTTAAAGTGACTACTTCAGACTCTGGGTTGATGACTTCTTACCTGAAATCATGTCATGTCTGAGATATTTAAATTCCTCGAGTGATTGCAAGTGTGCACTCATTTTCTCTTTGTCTCTGTCTCTGTCTGTGTGTGTGTCTGTCTGTCTCTGTCTCTCTGTCTCAGACACACATTTTAGAATTTTTAGAGAAATTTAGGCATGCAAAAACTAAGTATTTTTTAATAATCTTTAAAAATCTAAAACCATTTTCTTAACTTGAAAAACTTTAGGGCCACTTTAAAGGTTTGTATGCATGGTTTGGTCATTGATTATAACTTTCTTGTAGTGTTAGGACATGTCCTCCAGGAGGTCAAGCATGGAACATGAACTTGCATAGGAAAACTAGTTTTACTTCATCCTTAATAGGGAGCTCTTTTAGACCCCTAAGCCTAACTTCAACACAGGTTTCTAGAAGAAACCTTAAAATAATCAGCCAAAGATTGACCTCTTACACTAACAATAGTTCTCCCTCTCCGACTCAAGCAACTCTGTACTATAAAGTAGAATTTTTTATCTCATTTATACTGCATGATTTTACTTACTGAAAATTTCCAATAGTTGTTTGAGATTGGTATTTCATTAATCATTTTATTTTAAAGTGCTTTAGAGAAAAATGATAGAAAATTGCTTGTTACCAGTATTGAAACTAGAACAGGTGTAGAGCATTTGTGTAAAGTAGATATCACCAGGACTACAGAAGAGATTTTCATGCCTGTGCTATTTCTCATTTACTCTTATTTACAAATTGAGCAATACTGACTGAGAGAGAGAGAGAGAGAGGAGAGAAGAAGGACAGAGATGGAGGCAGAGACTAGTCTTTTTGCTTTTTGGTTTCCTCGTCAAGTTCAACATCCAAGACCTTTTTATAATCTGCTGTTATTTGGAAAACAGAAGAATTTTCAGATTTCTGCCTAAAACTAATTCCAAACAATGATTAAGCTTACTATTCAGACTCTATGCCCAGAAAAGCCATTTATGATTGTCTGAATTATGTCAGGCTACATCTATCTGAACCACAGCCAAACCCCTTTAAGTTTCCTTCAAGAGACTGGTCACTTTAGAGTCCCCTTTTCATTTGAGCTTATACTTTAGATATGAACAAGGTGTTTCTCACTGGTATTAACACTCCTTTCAAGTCCTTACTTTCTCCTTAAAAATGAAAACTAAATTGTTGGTGACATTTTAAGAACTTGTAAGAATCTCTGAATTGCACTAGCATAATGTAAGGCCAATTCTTAATCTTGAACTCTCTTTACTTCTTTCCTATTACCCTTCCTCCCTTTCCCCTTCTCCTTCTTGTTCTCTTTTCCTTTTTCACTTCCTCTCTCAGTTTTATTTGGTTTAGTTTTCCTTTGAACTAAGTAAAATAAAAGCAAAACAAAAGCGTTTAGCATAATAGATATGCTTTGGCCTATTAAGATCAGTTAGAGGTTTTGTCTTTCTCTGCTCCTCATTTGCAGCCTGGCTCTAGGTACCTTCTTGGCTCCCATATAATTCTGCTGTAAATCTGGGAGATTTTTAAAATCATAATAGCTTCTACCCCCTGAGGTACTGCTGAGATGAAATAATGAATATAAATTCATTTGTAAATTTGGAGCACTCCAGAAATTCCACATAATAGTAAGGGCATTTATCTTGTGTCTTCACCACTTAAAAGTAAAATTCACAAATTAGGAAAAGTAATAAGAATGTTGTGTTTCTTTTGTTTATAAAAGTTAGAAGTTGGATGATAAACTTCTAGTAGCTGTCATCCACTAACATAAACCAGGAAATACATGAGCAGTAGTGTGTACCCATTTGCAGAAACGCAGTAGCTTTCTTTCTACTATGGTTGGAAATACAGGGATACTTTAATCCCATCAGATTCTGTAATTTCCTGAGGTGATGGAATTCAAGACCCTTTACTTGGTGGCTTTTGAAGCACAATTGATGTAAGTGATGCCAATTTGCATTATGAATTTTCAGCCTACTTTGGTGTTTCAGTTGTTCATGCTTCTTCATTGCTTTCTCTTTTCTCCCTCCTCCTTGTTACAGGGTGAAATGGCTCCGTTTTCTTGGGCAGCCCTACATAGTAAATTCAGGTCTCTGCTTACAACAGAACCTAGGGAAGATTTGTGACAGATGGGCTAAGTCACAAACTTGCAGCCTAAGGCAGAATCTGAAGAACTTTCCAGAGTGTGCCCATATTTACCTGATCAGAGAGAAAAGAAAATCTGCAGAGGAAGCTGAGCCTGGCTGCTTGTCATAGC